GTTGGATGAACAGATGGACAAATGGTTGAATGACCAAATAGATGGATGAGTGGTTGGATGAATGGATGAATACCTAAATCTTTGTGTATTTAACTTTAAACAGTTTTTAATCAAATTGTTTTCATGCAGAAACTTAAAAAAAGAATAAAGGTAAAATTCCAATAAGAGCCATTTTAAAACATATCTGAGGTCATCAGAGGTCACCAGAGGTCATCAATGCATTTGTAAAAATAAGTTATGACGTCTATCACGTCCCCAAACTTCATTTTGCTCTTCAGACTTTATGAACGGGTGAAAACTGAAAATCAGCTTCAGATAAACTAAAAACAGTCGAAGTGACGATGAAGAGCTCGGAGTGCTTCTTCTCTTCCTGCAGGCTGGAAACCAGAGTTTAGGCTTTTATAGAAATAAAATCTAAATCTGTTCATCTCAGAAAACATTAGAATATGTTCTGATTAAGACAACACCCATAAGAACCAGTAAAAAGTCTAATTCCACTAAAACAACCAACAGCAGCCGTGGCTCTTGATTCCTGCGGCCGTCTGATGGAAACACGTCGAGATGAAATCCACAAAGTTCAGACGAGCTTCTTTTCAAACTCCGACGGTTCCACCGTCATAAATGTAAGATGGAGGGCATGAAAAGACAAACACGGTGAAATATTCACCAGCGCAGGTTTGGAGTGTTGAGGTGAAAACAGTCGGAGAGCAGAGACTCGTTGAGTTTTTATGAAGACTCAACGAACCACAGAAACTTTCAGTCGTCAACACGCTGGAAAAGTTTTCACCTTCTGTTCTACGACTCAAACCTGAAGTCGGTCTGACAACGGAACAAGAACTTTCTTCCTAAATTAATTTATGATTTTTGACTTTAAATGTGGACGGATGGACGCATGGATGGATGGATGGACGCATGGATGGATGCATGGATGGACGCATGGATGGATGGACGGATGGATGGACGGATGCATGGACAGATGGATGGATGGATGGATGGATGGACGCATGGATGGATGCATGGATGGACGGATGGACGGACGGATGGATGGATGCACGGATGGATGGACGGACGCATGGATGGACGCATGGATGGACGCATGGATGGATGCATGGATGGACGGATGGATGGATGCATGGATGGATGAACGGATGGATGGATGGATGGATGGATGAACGGATGGATGGATGGATGGATGGATGGACAGATGGATGGATGGACGGACAACAAACTTCAATGAAGACATTTTTCCCTCAATGACGTCCAACAAACCTCGTACTGGATTTAAAACATCGGGCCGATGCTTTTCAACGGTGGCTCTTATTCCTCTCCATGTGTAAATAAATGTGTTTGTCATCCTTAAATGCTGCTGAGTGAACCCATAAAAACAAAAAATGCACAACTCGGCCATGACACGTGGGCCGATGCCTTTACTGGCACCAAAAGTTACCATGGCAACGCCATTTGCCAAAAGTACCTCCATGTAACGCATGGAAAAGTCAAAACTTTCCACACTTTGAAATATTTCACGAACAACTGAATGGAAATTACTGAAACTCTCACCAAGCAACCACTGGAGGTTCCTCTACAACCACTGGAGGTTCCTCTACAACCACTGGAGGTTCCTCTACAACTGGTCAGCTTTTGGAGTCAACTCGATTCAAAATGGCCGCCACAGCTAACTTGGAAAACACAAACGTGGACAGAACCCAGTGAAGTTTTGAGCTAAGATCCGGCGTGGTAGTCGTTGATTTTAACCTTCAGCTACACTTCTTCTGCTAATTAAGGTCAAAATTCAAAATGGCCACCATGGCTAATCCAAACATGGTGATAACTCTGTCTCTTATAGTGATATTGAGCTAAATCTGGCGCGGTAGTCAGTGACCACGAGCTACGCTCATAGGACTAACAGTTTGCCCAGTTCCATATTCAAAATTCAGCATGGCTGAAACTAAATCGGCTACAGCGCAGTCAGTTTCAGACGTAGCGAGCTACAGTTTGGTGTGGTAGTAGAGGGTGGTGACGCATACTTGGACTGTTAACGGCTAAACACAACAAGTGGCACATACTTCTACAATTTTCAGATTTATTTATTGTTTTGGCTTCCAAGTCTTGATCGATTCCCCTACACAAGGAGGAAGCCCCGCCCTGTCAACAGAACCGAGCGCCCCCGCACAACCGTCCCCACCCCGACAAGGCAACTGACCTGAGGGAAACACTGACCTTGTTTTCTGGCTTTTAATGAAAACCACCTTAATATTACAAAAATAAATAAATACATTTTAAAAGAAAGGGACAACGAGTCTTCCTCTCACCTACATCAGGATATCAAGGTAGGTCTGAGCTTTGGGACCACATGGTCCCATGTGCATCACGTTTCATTAAATCATCTTGAGCGGATCAAGGGTTTATTCTGAAGTCGGTCCGGGAGGTAAACGACCCGTTAACGGTGTAAACGTGAGGAGCAGAGGGAAGGGCTCACCTGCTCATCCTCTCTCCCTCCCTCTGTTTCATCGCCTCTGACTCGCGTCCCTTCAGACGCATCCTTGAAACAGAGCTGATGAAACGTGGTTCTGGTCTTGCAGCGGCAGGACCTCGGCGTTAAATCTTTGAGCGCACAACGAGCGCTCACGCAGACTAAACAATCAGCTGAAATGTGCTCGCACACACCTGACAGCGCTGGGATCTGAACTACCTCTGGAACCTGACGGACCTGTGGCTCCGGTGCTTTGAATTCAGCTTTTGTTCCAGCTCGAGTGTCCTGCCCGGAGCAACTCCAACTGTTGGACTTTGAATAAAATGTACTTCTTTGTTCCAAGAAGTTTGAGTCTGAAGGTTGTTGTTCTGCTCACCTGACCGGAGCTTTCTTCATGTGCTCCCCAACGAACGTGGCATTGGTCATGCCCATCAAGGTGTTGGCCAGAGAGATGGCCGACAGCAGGTGCTGCGTGGTGACGGCCCTGGAGACGCCGTACGTCCCCTTCCCCACTATATCTGATAAAGAGAGCTTCAGACCAGTCGCAAAGGACAACTGACGCAGCAAGGACTCCTGGGAAATGGAGGCAGATGAGAGAAATGTGGTAATTGCATCAAACCGAAAACGACAGTTTTATTTTTGTTTCTTTTCGTTTGTTTTCTTCAAAGGTTACCTTGAAGGTGGGCAGCATGAGGGACATGTGGCCTCCTCTGGAAATCAGGCCGAAGGAGATGGGGCAGTGCGGTCTGAGCATGCCCAGTCGCTCCAGACAGATGCCATCCAGCTGTTCGTTCAGGCCCCAGGCGTGCAGGCAGGACATGAAGAGCTTGGCCGTGTCCATCGTCAGGTTGTACTCCAGGAGGCTCAGAGATTTGGACTTCTCCTCGCGCTTCCTCATCTCCTCCTCCTCTTCCTCATCATCGTCGAGCAGGTGCTCCTTGATGGTCTCCTTCATCGTCTCCTTCACCTGGTTTGAAAAGTTTAAATGAGTTTGGGGACAAATTCTGAATTTGCTCAGGCCCGGTAAGTACCAGGAAGCTAATAGGTACCCGATAGATACCCCGTGGGTAAGTATGTACCTATAGTTATCCAGTAGGGAAGCAGGTAACTCGTATAGACCCAGTCCATAGGAAAATAGGTAACATAGAAGGGAATGCCACAGGAATGTAGGTACATGTTTTTAGGACAGTAAACAGCCTGTAGATATTCACCTCGTGGGCACAAACTCACCCAGAAGGTACTTTGCAGGTAACCTGCAGCTAAGTAGTAGGTTACCCATAAGTACCATGTGCAGGAACCCCATTGGTATGCAGGTACTCAGAGGTACATAGTAGACACAACAAGGCACCAGGTTTGTACCAGGAATACACCAGGCTTTATTAAGTACTCATGAGTTCACAAACCTGTTTGAAGATTTTGTTGGCCAAGAAGGACCCCCCCTTGTCAGCCCCCGCCTGGCTTTTCTGCAGCGTCTCGGGGGACACCAGCATGGGGTTCGGTCTTTGTGCTTCCTCCGTCAGAAGCTGGATGATCAGTGCCTCCACGTCAAAGAACAGCACGTGCATGTCGGGGTCCGTCAGGTTGGTCTTCATGGCCTGGACCACCAGTGCATTGTGGGAGTATTTTGGAAGGTTACCCTGAGTAAAACAAATTATTGAAGTTACATAAAAGGAATCACACTTTTACATTGATCCTGTTTTATGAAACTCCTTATTTAATTATCTTAATTTTTAGACCAAAGTAAGTAAATTTTACACACTATATGTATTGAAAACATTTTGAAGTAGGGTTTAGTGGAACACTATGAACAACATGAATAATATGAATAATACTTATGAATATTAGTAATCAGTCAGCCTAACTTGTTGTGGACAGCTCTTTAAATCACCTCAGTTTGGACAGAGTTTAATTTTGACCGTTTGAAAAGATAATTAACCAGAACATTTTGACGAAGTGGATTAACGCGGTTTTAAAACGACGATCTAAAAATTCTCACTGTGCTTCACGCAAACGCCTTTTTATAGCAATAAAATAAATAAATAAGACGAGAAAAGCTTCATGAGGGTGCAGTTTAGTAGATAAATAAAATTTTAGGAAATCTCTTAGAAAATGACAAATTTAAGAAAAAGCTCTTTATAACACTAAAACACAGCAGAGGCTTTATGCTAATGTGGGCCTGCTTTGCTTGATCTGATGTTTGATACACTGAAATAATAGCTATAAATAAAAAACGCAGAGAAAATGTTAAATAAAATGAGAGCGGCTCATGCCAACAATATTTTATGAACAAATCATCACCAGTGTTTCCAGTGTTAAGTATTTAGAAATATCCCAGTATTCATGCTGGATATGACCTGGAGCTCAAGTAATAACCTTTCCTCAAAACCACACTTCAAAAGGGTTTGAACTACCCCTTTAAGGTTGGCTCTAAATTAAATCGACACCCCGTTAAAAAGTTTACAGCGGCTGAAACAGGAAGTCGTGACTCGTCAACAAATACTGAAATATTCTCACTGATATTAAAAACATTTGTTCTTCAGTTTATATTAGTTTGGTGGAGAAACACTGCCCCCTGCAGGAAACACACACACACACACACACACACACTCAAAAAGCCTGAATTAAAACAGAAATGATGACGTAAGAGCTTTAAATTCACATTAAATAATAAAATATTAGAAGGAATAATTATGTGATTTATACACATACAGACTTTATTTCGATTTTAGATTTTAGACAATAAATCAGAGCTTTGCAAATAAAATGAGCAGATTGCTGCTTTTATTATTTGCAGGAAAACGTCAAAAAATAAAAATGAAACCCTTTGGACTTCAACCTCAGACTTTTAGACGACTGACAGACTCTAGCTTGCAGGAAGTGGATCAGAAGGTCATTGTCCTGCAGGGCCCTTCAGGCAAACCGTGCATGCCCACGTGCACACTCTTCAGCCAAACACACACACCTCTCCGTGTTTTTCTGTGAATCTCTGAGCAGCTGGTACAATGTACGGCAAGCTGTTTTACTATATAATCAAATCACAATCCTGTCTACTTGGCATTTTAGGTTAAAAAAATTATCTTGATCACAACATTCTTACTGGTTAGAATTAAAGTAAAGATATTTATATTCACGTTACTACATTTAGAAATTACAATTTAAGAACCATACTTTTTTATTATACAAGCAAAATACGTTTAAATTGTCTAAAAACTAAAAAAAAGTTTAGGTAGTTGATGTAGACAAATGTCTACAACTGTTCCTAGTAAAAGTCCCTGTCAAATTCAGAACTGAATTCAAAATCGAACCTACAAAGCCATCAACAACCTAGCTCCATCTTAAATTCGAGATCTTATTGTTCCATATTTTCCTAACAGAGCACTTCGCTAACAGACTGCAGGTTTACTCGCGGTTCCTAGAGTTTCCAGCAGCAGAATGGGAGGAAGATCTTTCAGTTCTCAGGCTCCTCTCTTGTGGAACCAACTTCCAGTTTCTGTCCGTGAGGCTGACACATTGTCCAGTTTCTTCCTCGTGAGGGAGTTTTTCTTTCCACTGTCGCCTTCATGCTTGTTCAAGATGAGAGTTCAGTGATGGAGTTAAACTCAAAGCTGCTCCTCAGATAAATAATGTTCAATTATTATTTTATACACGAATGTTTCTGTTCAGTCCCTGAGACGATTCTATTGTGACTTGGAGCTTTAGAAATAAACTGAATTGAATTGAATTGTTTGGTACGGGAACAGACATCTTTTCAACATTTTACATTAAATAACGCTTAAATTATAAATTCAAAAGTTACAAGTCAAAGTGTTCAACTCTCAGTTTCAGACATTAACGCAGGACGTCTTGTAGAAATCTAACAATCTGTTTGTAATAAAACGATAAGGCAAACATTTCTCAGTATCTAAAATACCATTTGCGACTAATAAAAATAGTACTGCAGTTCATCTAAAATTGGAGTTTTCCACAAGAATAAAGTTCATAAGCGTAACAAGTCTTTGTTAATCTCCCCCGGGGAGGGGATCAGGGCAGCGTGATGCGCTGCAGCAATGCAATATCCAGGCTAAAGTTATTTTAGGTGCCTAAACTGCAGTAATACAAGTCCAGTCACCATTTCTGTAAATGTATGGCAATAAAGGGTCATATGCAAGACTGGGTAATGGAGTGGTGGTGGGGGGTTGGGGGGAGAACAACATAGGGAGTGGGTTCATTCAACAGCCTGACTGCACGGGGTTAGAGGCTTTGGGCCAGCCTGGTGGTTCTGCCACAAATAGATCTCTACCTTCGTCCAGAGGGCAGTAGATGGACCAGATGGTGTGCTGGGTGTGACCAGTCTGAATGATGTTGTGAGCTTGGCCTCTGGGGAAGTTTGGCTCTTTTTAATCTCCTCAGACAGAAGAGGCAATCTGGGCCCTCACTATGACCGACTTGATGTTTTTGCCCCACGACAGATCCTCCGTCACAGTCAGACCCTGGAACTTGAAGCTTGAGATCCTCTCCACCTCATCAACACCAATGTAGAGCGGAGAGTGGCTGAGCTATCCAGTTTTTCCAGAAGTCCACAATTATTTCCTTTGTCTTTTTATGTTAAGAACCAGGTTACGGTTATTGCACCACGCCACTAGTTGTTCAACCTCCCTCCTATATGCATCATCAGTAATGAGACCAAGAATGTTGTATCATCAGCACATTTAAGAATATAATTTGATGAAAAGCAGAGAGAGCAGTCCTGTGTGAAAAATGTAAAGAGAAGTGGACCGAGTACACATCCTTGGGGCACCCCGGTGCTAATGAATAAAGTGGATGAAATGTGGCTGCCAAATCTGACACACTGAGATCAGTTAGTTAAGAAGTCCAAGGTCCAGTTGCATAGTGTGGTGTCAAGTCCCAGATTGTGCAGTTTGGTTCAAAGTGTGTTGGTTTAAAGATTTAAAAGCTAAACTAAAAAACAACAAACAGCCTAGCTCATTTCTGCTTATTTAAACCTAATCCAGCAAATACCTGTATGTTTTTTTTTTTTGCTTTCTTCTGCTAATTTAGGCTTGTTCTTCCATTTTAGCTATGTTTCAGCTGTTTTTAATGTAATTTCAGCTGTTTTTCAGCAAGTTATTCAGCAATAAGCACACTGCATTTTCATAGGCAATGCAATTTCTCTAGTTTTTTTTTAAAGTTACGCTCAGAACATACAGGAATGGAGGAAGGGTATCTCCAATTCCTCCTCTTCGCTCTGAGCCGGGGGACAATGAGGCCAAGTTGTGCTCCCCAGTACATCTACCTCTTTTATTTTTCGCCTCGTGACACCAACACAGCTCGGTGATTTGAGCAGAAATCAGCAGAGGGCAAACTCAAAGTCATACACGAACTTCCTCGATCCGACGCAGAAAAACAACAACAACCGACGACAGCTTGGAGCTTTCGGGGCGGAACCGTTTGGGTTTATAGTCCGACATTTCATGGCCATTATCCATCGTCGCTCACAGCGGGGGAGAAAACTGCAGATAATGGAGGTTTGAGTTGATGTGAGGACGAAATGACGGAGGGAAGCATCGATGAAGGAAAGACCGCAGGCGTTTTCAGATCATTTCAGTTTGGAACGCAGGAAATAAAACCCCACAGAGGTCAGGAGACGGGGTTAAACGGCTTCCTGAGTCGATCTGTAAAAGTCAAACTGCAGCAACAGCCGAACTCTCGGAGCACTAAATAATTCAGCGCGCTTGTTTTCCGCGCTGGGAAGCCTGGTGCGGGTGGGGTTCCCTCTGTCGGGACGGATCAGGTCGACGGAGTTTGACGAGTGAAGCTCTGATCCTCCGAGAGGCCGAGTTCAAAAATAAACAAAACTCAAAACTTTACGCCCTCGACCTGAAACTTTGAAAGTTGGTTTATAACAACTCCATGTCTCGAGCATTTTCGACGAGCCTGGGTCGGAGCGCCAACGACCCCCGCCTTCGGCTGATGCTGTGGCACCACAGACCTGACCCAAACAGCCCCTCCTGCCGGTGGTGGGCCCACAAGAAGACAAGCTCATGTAACTGGTCAGGAGATCGTTGGTCGATGATGCTTATCACTACAAATGTTGAACTAGAGAAACTGCATTTCCTGTGAAAATGCAGAACTTGCTGAAAAACAGCTGAAATTGTAGCCGAAATAGAAGAACAAGCATACATTAGCAGAAGAAAGCAGAACAGAAATTTGCTGAATAGGGTTTAAATAAGCAGAAATTAGCACAGAAATTAGGATGTTAGCTAAGAAAGCTGAAATTAGCAAAGAAATTGCTGAAAAGGCATAAAAAGCTGAAATGAGTTTAAAAATGTGGAATTGGCTGAAAAAGATGAAACTAGCCAAAAATGCTGAATGAGCATAAGCTGAAATTATTAGAAAAAAAAGTTAATTAGGCTAAAAGTAGCAGAAATTCCCATGAAAACTTGAACTTATCTGAAAACAGCTGAAATAAGCTAAAAAATGTGAGGGGAAAAAAAGTAGCTGAAAAGGTATAACAAGCTTAAATTAGAAGAAGAAAGCAGGAAGAACGTTTGCTGAAAGAAGCAGAAATGAGCACAAAACAGTGAAAAATATCTGGACAAAAAAACGAAATAAGCAAAAAACAGCTGAAAAGTAGCTAAAATAACCTCAACTTTCAGAAAATAGCTGAAAGGAACATAAGCTGAAATTAGCAGCAAGAAGTTAAAAGAAGCACAAAAATGTTGTAGTTAGCAGAAAGAATCTGAAAGGAGCACAAAACAGCTGAAAAATCAGCTGAAAGTAGCTGAAAAAGTTTAAATTTGCAGCAGGAAGCTGAAAGAAGCTGGAGCAGAACAAAATGTGAAAGGAGCTGTAAAAAGCTATGAACGCATCTAAAGATCTGAAGGATGGAAAATGAGCTCAATTCATTTTCTGTGAGAAAAAAAGTGTCAGAAAAGGCTAAATATTTCAAAAAGCTAAAGTTGCACCAATACCAAGTCACAGCAGGATTGTCCTGGAAGAGCTGAACGTTTTATGATTTGGTGAAATAGCTGAAAAACAAACGGAAGAGAAATGGAAGAACAATTTGCACAACTAATAATTTCTTGCAGCTTTTCTCAGATTTTAAGTGGAGCCGAAGTGTTTTGTTTCACGAGGACACGCAGAGACTAAAAAACTGTCTTTAAAAGGATGAAACCTCTCGTTGTTTTGTCGTAAAAGGTTGAAAGTTTTAAAAACAGTTACTGGAGTCCAGCTCAGACACAAAAGTATTTTATTATTTATCCGTTTATTTTCTCATAATGACATTTACAAGGCTCGTCCCCGGGAGACGGCAGGACTCCTCCTGACCTTTCCCTCGTCTCCAGAAGGGTTTTAATTGGTCTCGGGCTTCAGCAGGCGATCGGAGCCAGACGACCGCTCTGCGCGTCCGTTTTTATCGAAGGAGACGAAGACGAGACGTCTGGAGGTCTCAGACGTCCCAACGCTTCATTCAAACAAACCTTAGACGGCGTTTTCTTTCATAGTTTGTTTGTCGTCCTTTGAAAGAAACGAGCTGGACTCCAACAACGCCTTAGACCAGCGTTATTCAACTGGTGGCCCAGGGCTCAGTTCAGCCCACCAGTGAGTTCATATTTAAATAAAACTAGATTTTAAATCATACAAACTTATTTAATGAGAATAACTGCTGGAAGTCTGGACCCCTGAGCAACTTAGTTGAATAGCCCTGCCTTAGACACCTCAGTACTTCACCCTCAGGTCAGACTGTGCAATGCTCAGACATGAGCTCCGTGTCAGACTCCACAGGTGAAGGTGGATTCAGATGTTTTCTGTCGGAGCAGAGCTCCTCTGCAGGCGTCAGAACAACTCTAGGTGTGCTCCAAGATTTAGTGGTTCCCAAGCCTGGTCCCTGAGGAACACCATCCTGCATGTTTCGGTTGTTTCCTGCTCCAACACGTTTGATTCGGTGATTTAATTCAAGTTCTGCAGAAGTTCATCACCCATTCATTCAAGTCAGGTGCGTCAAAGCAGGGAAACAAGTAAAACACACAGGACGGTGTTCCTCAAGGACCGCGGTTGGGAACCACTGAGAAGCTAAGACAGATTTGAGACCCCTGCGATGACTCGGACGATGTTGATTTGTGGTGTCAGTTTTTGAAATGTTTAAAATTCATGTGATGAAACTGAGCTTCTGCACATCACGTGAGGAAACTAGTTCTCGTTCTTTCGGCTGATCCATTCTGCAGGGGTTCCTGCTGATAAATGAGGTTCTACGAGTTTTCCACCCAGATTTAGCTGAATATTAACACCACGTTAAGTTCTGGTGCCTAAAGCTTATTTTGTTAACGTTCTGGTAAACAGTCGGTGTTTGTTGTTGTTTACCTTGTCGGCGTTGTCCGCAGCCAGCAGGTTGGTGGCGAGCGTCTGCAGCTTGTGCTGGGCCATGTTCTTCAGCGCAGCCAGGCTGCGGCGCGTCATCGCCTGCTTCAGGTTGACGGCCGAGTGGCTCAGAGCGTCCACGGTGGCCGGAGCGAGCTCGTCGCAGGCGTTCAGGATCTCCACCGCCGTTATTCCCATCACGCAGCGGTCCAGCGCTCCTGAAAACAGAAACAAGACACTAGAAAGTTCCTGACGGGGACTGCCACGCTGCGGCCATTTTAAAATTTTGATTCGACAGTACATGTTGGAGTTTGCTCTCAGCTACCAACACACCCAATTTTAGCTCAATATGGCAACAAATCAATGAGTTAGTCTTTTTTTTTTTTTAAAGCTATGGTAGCCATCTTGGATTTTTGATTTGGCTTCAGTATGTGATGGGGACCGTTCTCAGCTACAACCTCACCAAATTTCAGCTCTGTATGTGTAAAAATAACTGAGTTAAAGCCAATTAAATGTAGCTTTGGCAGCCATCTTGATTTTTTTTTGATGGTTGCTGAGAGCAAAGCTCAATAAACACTAACACCAAATTTCAGCTTACCGGTAATATTTCTAAAAATGGCCGATTTATAGTATTTTTTCCCTTTTTAGCTCAGGCGGCCATCTTGGATTTTTGATTTGCAATCAGTCTATTAGGGATTGTTCTCAGCTGCCAAAACACCAAATTTCAACTTAACAGAAAACTCTGAGTTATAGCTATTTGACATTAGCTTTGGTGGCCATATTGAATTTTTGGATTTGAATTCAGAATGTGTTGTGCATCGCTGTCAGGTACTACCACACCAAATTTCAGCTTAATATCATTTAAAATAGTCGAGTTATATTTTTTCCCTTTTAGCTAAGGTGGCCATCTTGGATTTTAATTTGCATTAGGAATGTAAACAACTCCCTCTGAGCTAGGACCACATCAGATTTCAGCTCAATATCTCAAAGAACGACTGAGTTATAGTTAATTGAGTTTTCTGCGGTAGCTGTGGCAGCCATCTTGAACCAAAATGGCTCCTAAAGTTAATAAGTGTTTTTTTCCAGGGACCGCTCCACTCGAGGTCATGTGACCTCTCTGTAGCAGTTAGAAGCTGAGTTTTGTCAGTGTTTTACAATGAGATAAATGGTGTCTCCGCAAATTACATCGCCATGGTAACTCCAAACACCAAAGCGCACACATGGCCTGGAGGATCTTCTCCATCCTCATCGTCTGTCTGCTCGTACTTAAAGATGGAGACGTTCAGGGAGAAAGTCTGGTTCTGAGCAAGAGGAGAACAATCAGCACCAGAACCGTGTGACGAAGGAGCCATCAGAACTTGTCCAACCCCTGAGCACACGCACTTATATTTACATCCTTTATTTCCATGGTTCCCAACCATGGTCCTTGAGGAACACCATCCTGCACGTTTCAGTTGTTTCTCCACTCCAACATGCCTGATTCAGTGATTAAATTACTTCAAGTTCTGCAGAAACCTGTTAATCACCCATTCATTCAAATCAGGTGTGTCAAAGCAGGGAAACAAGTAAAACATGCAGGATGGTGTTCCTCAAGGACCAGGGTTGGGAACCATTTTATTTTACCATATCCAAGTTTATAATCCCGCTTTTATTTCAATTCGTTCAGACTGATTTCACTTTATGGCTGAGCCAGTCAAAACTCCAGTTCAAATGGCTCAAAATGTGGCGGCCATCTTTGATTTTGACGTGTCAGCCAGTTTCAAAAGCTTTTCTTACGCCTGGATGTAGCCACACACCAAAACAGAACTTGGCATCTCTTTTATGTTGCAAGAGTTCACAACATTCATGGACAGACAGAGGATCTTTACAACTTCCCCTCTAGCTGCCTCCGCACGTCAACCAGGTTGACGCACTTCCTGTTTTTAAATCCTCTCTTAAAACACTTTTTTCTCTTTGACTTTAACTCAGTTTAAGGTGTTTTGTTGTTGTTTTATAAATAAAGTTGTATTATTTAGTAAAGAAAAGCCCTGAAACCGAACACAGGACCAGCGGCGCCTCCAACCGCTCCTCACCCGTATCCATCTGCCAGACGTAGACGGATCCGTCGGAACACCCCACCACCAGGTAGTCGTCCGCCGGGCGCCACTTGATGACCTGGATGGGGAACAGGTGTCGTGACGCCAGCATGATGCACTTCCTCTCCCGGAGGCTGAGCAGGCCCACGGAGTGATCGCTGGCCACCGAGCAAACGCAGTGCTGCACCCGGGTCTGCGGAGACGAGACGCATGCTCAAAACCGGAGCTACGCGAGACGGACGGGACATGCTCGGCATCTTACGCTGCAGTTCTCTGGCAGGACGATGAGCTGCGTGATCTCCCCCCCGTGAACGCAGAAGATGTGCTTCATCTCTCCGGTGAAGATGTCCCAGACGATGACTGAGAAGTCCACGCCTCCCGACACCAGCGAGCGCTGGTCGTATCGGGGGGACACCTGGTACGGGTACAGGACACAGGTCACCTTGTTGCGGTGGCCCCGCAGGGTCCGGTGCGGCGGCCAGCCTGTAGGACAGACAGACGGACACGGAAAGAGCTAAAGAGCTGAAAGAAAACTTTTTTCCTGCGGATCAGAAACTGTGTTAGCTTAACACCGAGACGAAAAGTCATCAGCAATGACCTCAAAGGAGTTAACGGTTGATGCTTATCGATCTGGGAAAGGTCAACGGTCATTCCTAAAATATTTGGCGTCAATCTCTACAGCAATTATTGACAAGTGGAATTAAAACAGCTAAAAAAAGCTTCACATGAGCAGCAGCTAATTCACCTAAACATCACAGGTTTTAGCTACTTTTAGCTTAACTAGCCTTTTGAGACTAAACTATTGGCTAGTGTTTTGCCATTGTTAGCTAGCCTTCTGATGACTTTAAGCTAGCATTTTGCTACTTATATCTAAAATTTTATTATTTTAGCTATCCTTTATCTAGCTTTTAGCTAGCATGTTGCTACTTTAAATTTCAGCTAGACTTTGCTACATTTGGCTTTTAGCTACATTTTTGTTATGTTTAAGTTTAAGCTAACCTTTTGCTGGTTATAGTTACCTAAAGAGTATATTTAGCTTGTAACTAGTTTTTCCTCCTTTAAGCTAGCATTTCTCCCATTTTTACCTTTTAGCTAGGTGTTGCCAAGTTTAACTGTGTAGTGGACCAAGGCCTACGTCGAAACTAAGTCTAAGGTCAAAACTCTTGACCTTTAGAACCTTGTGGGACAGAAGCTGTCATTTCATGTATTTGACTCCATAAATACAGGTTCACCCATCCTGAGACTTTCTTTCTTGAAGATTCAAGTGAAAAGAACACTCTCTTTTTATTATCATTACTATCTTACAAATGTTGATAATCAAAGTGTCTTAGTTCAAACCATTTTAGATGTTGCAGTGAACTAATCAATTTTATTAACTGAGTAATGATTTTTATTCTCATGCAAAGTTAGAACTCATGATTAAATGCTGTTACAAAGTTTATGCAGTTTCTGATTTCTGCTTTTGAATGAGCAAGTGTGTGCGTTCCAAGGTTGGACTCAAACGAAAAACAAGTTGTTATGTTAAAACTGTCATGTTTTAGAATCCTCTCAGACGTAAATAGAGATGTTTTGCACCTGTTTCTTAGACACGTCAAAACAGAACCCTCTCGGTCTCTGAGAACATTTCTGAGCTGTCTCATAACAATTCTCGCTGTCTCTAACCCCTTACGTCACAAAAACACACCCCTTCTGGTCGATCCTGACCAATGAAAAATCCCAAAAAGTGAACCGGGAAAGAGTCTTTAAAAGGTCAGTACTTCCTGGTCGACTCAGACTCACAGACACAGAGTTACAGAGTTTTCGGAGAGTTCGAGAGTTCAGAGTTCTGGAGTTCTGAAGTTGCTGGAGTAGTTCTGTTAGAGACGGGATGATTCTGACATGACAAAAAGCTCTTCCGAGTTTCATGGGATTATAACATTTCCACTGAGGTGAGCTGTGGCGGACAGAATCTCGCCGCTACTCCGGACGAGTAACAGCATCCTACGGAGACGCTGAAAGGGTGCGTTAAACGGAATCTCGCCTGAGACATCTCCAGGTAAAAGAGTCGTTTTCACCACCTAAGTGTACTGTGAGGAAGAAGCTGAAGAAAGCCCGGAGAGTGCCGTTCTGTTCAACACTCTACCTCAAACACCATCTTTCTCCCCTTTAAACTTCATCTTTCATCTTAAACTTTTCTATCAAGTAGAAATTCTCCCAGATATTTAGAAATGTCTGTGTAAAGTGCTTACCCACATTCATGTGGGTAAAAGATCATAGTTGTACAGTTATAAATGTCTGTTGGTGCAGCAACGGAGAAATCATGGCCGTATGATTTTTCCTGATTGATTGCTTTGTTGTTATTTTCATAATTTGCCAAATTAATGTAAATGTTTGATGTTAAATTTGATTCTGTAAATAAATGACCGCATTCATTTTGATGGGTCAAATTTAAATGACGTCTCCCGTTTGCATTTCCTTAAATTCAATGCACGTTTTATTCAGTCCAGAAAAATGAGGAACTCGCGTTAAATGATGAATATATCCCAGCATCTGTTCATCTACAACTGGTAACTAGCATGTTTCTATGTTTAGCAACTCCTTTGAGACTTTTACCATTTAGCCATCCATTTACTATTTTTATCCTTTGAATACTGTTTTTAGCAGTTTTGTTTTTGCTACTTTTAGCTGGTCCTTTGCCACTTGTACCTTTAAGCCAGCATTTTACTACTTTCAGCTTCAAGCTACTACTTGCCACTTTTGGCCTTTTGCTACATTTATCTTTAACCTAACCATTTCTGACGTTTAGCTTCTAGCTAGCGTCTTTCTACTTTTGGCTAGTTTTTCTCCAGTTCCAGCTTTTTAGCCTTTTTCTACTTCCATTGAGCTTCTTTTAGCTTTCAGCTAATTTTGTTACTTCTAGCTTTTAGCTAGTATGTTGCTATTTTTGGCTAGCTTTTTTCTACTTCCAGCTAGCATGGAGTTTTTTTAGCTTTCAGCTCATTTTGCTCCTAGGTTTTAGCTAGCAATGTCTTTTTTCAGATTACAGTTATCTACTTTTAGTTTTATTAGCTAATGTTTTGCTGGTTGTAGCTAGTCTGTTGCTACATTTAGCTTAATTTTTCTTTTACCTAGCATTTGCTATTTTTGTCTCTTAGCTAGTGTTTCAGCTTTTTCGGCAGGTTTCAGCAGCCCTTCAGCGCTCGGTCCCCCCTCACCCCTCCTGAGCATGTGCTCCCCCTGCAGCAGCTGAACGATGGCTGTCTGCGTGGCAGGAACCAGGACGATGCTGCCGTCTTCTCTTCCGCAGACCAGGCGTCCTTGAGATGGGATGTAAACGCTGGCCGTCACCTGGGGACAGAGACACGCCGTCCTCGAGTCCAAAAACTGATTTCACTTCATATCATTTTGTTTTTCATGACGGAACAGCGAAGCTGGTCTGAACCTTGATGGGCTCTTCTTTTCCGGGCAGGACGCTGAGCTGGTCGATGATCCCGGACGAGACGGGCATCAGGCGGTCGAAGGCCTCCTGGAGGCTGACGGTGGACGACACCTGCAGCTCTGCAGACGGGGACACGGTAAAAACAATGAGACAGTCTTTAAAGCCCAACTGAAGAGGAACATCTGGAGGAGACGGTTTATCGTGAACCCTAAACATTAACTGTCAATAAACAGAATAAAAATTCAACCGTCGTTTTATGTTAACTCTAAAGAACAAGTTAAAACTATAAAAATCTAAACTCGTTTTAAATTAAGACTGTCGAAGTCATGGACGGAAATGTCCATCCGTCCACCAGATGTCCCTCTAAGCTGTTGGACAACAAGACCGTTCAGAAACCCACAAGTAAAATAGCAGAAAACATTAAAATAATGAAGTGTTTTCACATTTATTGTATTTTTTATTAACAGTATGAATCCAAGATCTTTAACGTTTGGTCTCATCGTCGTCATCTGTTAGCAAAATATCTCAAACCACTGGATGGATTTTAATTAAACTCTCAGGAAATAAACTCTGGATGTTTATTTACAACCAACTAACTTTTAGAGTCAACCTGATTCAAAATGGCTGCCACAGCTAACTGACTTTAGCGGACATGAAAATGACTGCCGATCACTTTGATCAATATTGAGCTAAACTTTCATGTGGTTACGGCTGAGGTCGTCATCAACACGTACTCTGAGTGTGAACAGATCCTTGGCACGCCACACGGTGGGAGATTTTCATTTAATTTGTATTTTAGTGATTTAAAACAATTAAACCTCTAATGAAACATAAAAACAAGTCAGTAGTTCTCAAACTGCGGCGTGCCCCCTTCCGAGGGTGGCGTGATGTCGCTCAGTGCTTTTCTTCCCAGGCTGGAACGTGTAGCAGGTGGAACCAACGTTACGGTGCCTCGTTGCAGCCCAAACCCATTTTAGAGACGAACAAAACAACAAATCGTTACTTCGTTTTTATTTTCTCTCTTTAACAGAATTGAAGTTTGGAGAATGGAGAGGTGCGCTTTTGGAAAACAGGGATTTTATTTAATAATTTAAGTTAATTTGTTGCGTTTTTAATAAGATACGAGGCCGACGTCCGTCACGCAACGCATCGAGGCTCTACGTCAACCCATCTGAGTTCACCTCCACACCTCGATGCTCGACCTGCCGGTTTGAGCGTTTCTCTCGCTGCTTCTGCTGCTGTAGTTCTTGGATTTAAACAATGTCAACGCTAAAACGTGGATATCTGTATGGCCAAGATTGTAGCGAAGGTATTTCACGCGTTAATATTTGGTTTACTCAAGAACCAACAAAGAACCACGGTGATTTATTTATTTCACAAACGCCGCCGGCAGAGTCGTCGTTACCTGTGAACGTTCCTGCTGGCTGCCGAGGCGACGAGTCCGGGATGCTCCACAGCGAAAGCCGGCCCGCCGAGTCTCCCTGGACCAGCAACTTGTGGAACGGTTCCCGCCGACCGAAGAAGAACCGGGTCACTGGAGGACAGATCAAGAGCTGCAGACAGTCGGAGGGAAGAAATAAAATCAGTTTGACCACCTGAAGGCCCGCTGCTGTTTGTGGGCTGGCTCTTGGCTCAGGCAGAGCGGTAAAAGGTGCAACAATCTGTAGCTTTGGGCGACTGAAGTGAAACAGGAAGTGGTTGGTTTTGCTCGTGAGATCTCTTCAAACAAACAAACAAACAAACAAACACAACAAACAAAGAGGAGAACCAACCACCTCTGATTCAACATGGCGTCTGGAACCAAACGGTTGACAGCTGACAGGAAGTCCAGATCTTCTGAAGTGGGGTTCTGTTGGAGATAGCTCTTGAAATGTCAAATAAATAAAAATAGTTTTAATATAGTTTTCCTCTTCATCAAACTTCAAGGTCATCTGTTAAAAGCTAAGAATGGTCGTACCCGACGGTATCGCCCACCAACAAAGGCACAGCAATAATGGTTTTGCCCAGGTCTACGTGTGTTTATTTGTCCGTACTGTCAGCAAAATATCTCAGGGCACACTGGATGGATTTTAATGACATTTTCAAAAAGTAATCATTAGGTTACAGAAAGCCAATTCAAAGTGGCAACTGCAAAATGGCCGCTTTACCTCTGTGAATTTTACAGATATTGAACTAAAACTTAGTGTGGTAGTAGCGGAGAGTCCTTGAAAGTATATACTCTGAGCACTAACGGATCATCTGGGATTTTATATGTAATCATGCAGAAATGTATTTTCAGGTTTTGAGCACAACGGTCCGTGATCTCAAGAAAACGAGTTTTCCTGAGTGAAAAATAAAATGGGTACATAGAGCGGCCATTTGTGATCTACAGAAACCACACTGCCATTAACAGCAGCAGTTTCGGCTGTTCTCAGCGGCTGTAGAAACTGACGACAGCACGAAGGTCTGGACTGGACCTGTGTTTCTACTGGTCCTGTTAGACCTCAGTGCTGCATTTGATACAGTTGATCACAATATTTTACTACAGAGGCTTGAATATGATGTTGGGATTACAGGAACAGCTCTAAAACGGTTTAAATCATATCTATCTGATAGATTCCAGTTTGTAAATGTAAATAAATCTTCTTCATACACCAAAGTTAGTCATGGAGTTCCTCAAGGTTCACTGCTTGAACCAATACTCTTTACCTTGTATATGCTTCCGTTAGGTAAAGTTAGGGATAAATGTTCATTGTTATGCTGATGATACACAGTTATATTTGTCCATTAAACCCAATGAATTCAATCAGCTACTTAGACTACAAGCATGTCTTAAAGACATAAAAACCTGGATGACCCTTAATTTTCTGATTTTAAACTCAGACAAGACTCAGGTTTTAGGTTTTGGACCTGAGCACCTTAGGAATGAATGTTTCAGTCTTTCTCCCTCCTTAGATGCATTAATCTGTCCTCCAGCTCTAATGTTAAAAATCTTGGTGTTATGTTTGATCAGGACATGTCTTTTATCCCCCACATTAAAAACGTTACTAGAACCTCCTTCTTCCACCTGCGTAATATCACTAACATTAGAAACATGTGATCTAAAGATGGTGCAGAAAAACTGCTCCATGCATTTGTCACGTCTAGACTGGACTATTGCAATGGTTTATTATCTGGGTGTCCAAATACTTCTTTAAAACGTCTTCAGTTGATCCAAAATGCTGCTGCCAGAGTCTTAACTGGAGTTACTGGGAGAGATCATGTCTCTCCAGTTTTAGTTTTTCTCCACTGGCTCCCTGTCAAATTTAGAATTTAATTAAAATTCTTACTTCTAACCTACAAAGCTCTCAACAACCTAGCTCCATCTTATTTTACAGATCTTATTGTTCCATATTTTCCCAACAGAGCACTTCACTCTCAGACTGCAGGTTTACTTGTGGTTCCTAGAGTTTCCAGCAGCAGAATGGGAGGAAGATCTTTCAGTTCTCAGGCTCCTCTCTTGTGAAACCAACTTCCAGTTTCTGTCCGTGAGGCTGACACATTGTCCAGTTTTAAGACTTTCCTTTTTGATAAATCCTATAGTTTGGGTCTGCTTGGGTTTCCTGAGCTATCCCTTAGTTATGCTGCTATAGGCTTGGCTCCTTTACTGATGGTCTTGAACATCTGTGTGGTCACGAATAAACCCAATGTCACCAAACGGAGGGCATTAAAAGAGCTGCTGCCTACAACAGGTAACATATTGATTGTTCATAACGTTTCCATAGAAGCCCACTGGAAAAGATCTGAACTACGCCTTTATAGCTGAACGCAGCTGTGAAATGTAAACCTGCTGCAGTTTTTCATGTTTTAACAGAAGGAGGAGCGTTGTGCTGGTCCATCCAGGTGAGTCTGAAGGTGTGGGGGCTTTCGGGGGCGGGGGTGAGGAGTGCGTGAAGAGTGTGTGTGTGTGTGTGGGGGGGGGGTTGAGCAGAAGAGCAAACACG